TGCAGGAGCTGCGGGCACTCAGAGCGCTGGTCAAGGAGCAGGGGGAGCGGATTGGCCGCCTGGAGGAGCAGCTGGGTCGCATGGAGAATGGGGACGCATAGGACCACAGGCCACAGGCCCAACGGATGCCATTCCCGCCTCACCTCCTCCTCCTCCACCCCCTCCTCACTCAGCCTCTGCTATCAGGTCACACTGCTGGCTGGCTGTCCCCTGCCCCCTGCCCCCTGCCGAGGGTCTCTGGGGCAGGTTCAAGGGCCAGTCCACACCCTGACCCATCCTGTGGCTCAGGATGGAGCTGCCTGGCTTTTGTCATTGTTACTGTGGAGGATTTTTGTACCAACACAAGCTTATATTCTGAGGGACCATCTCCCCACTCCTGCCCACTCCCCGCTCCCTCCTTTGGAGGAGTAGGAGGGATGGGCTCTATATTTTCATTCCAAATAAAATTCTCTTTCTAAAAGCCAGGTTTGCCATTCTGCTGCAGGTGGGGCTGGGAAAAGAAAAGGGGACAGCCGAGGCCGCAGGAATCATCAACTTGAGAAAGGTCTGGGGGTCATGAGCATCCCCCACCGTCAGCTTCCCTGAATTCTTCCCTGAAGACTGAGGCAGAAGACACGTGGGAACCTTCAGGGCCATATCCTGCTGAGCTGGCTGCCCCCTTCCTCTTCTTGGAGGCCTGGTCACAGGCTCCAGAGCACAGCCTGGCCCAGCGAGAGGCCTGTGAGGGTCAGGGTGGTCCCAAGAGGCTCAAGGGGCCTATGGCAGAGAGGGCTGGGTGGGGTATCGTGGGCAGGAAGCGGAAGCGTCAACCCCTAGCTGCAGTTGAGCGCGAGCTCACTTCTCACTCGGTACTGTTGGAGCTAGAGGTGGGCACCCAGCGCTGAGAAGCCTGCGGACCCATGGTGAGCGCTGGAGCCCCTGGGTCCTTGGGTGGGGGTGACAGGAGGTCAGAGGGAGTTAAGGAAGGACTCCCTCTATGGGGCTAAAAGCAACCAGTCCGGCAGAGGACAGAGCAGAGCCAGGACAGGTGAGGGGCAGAAGCTGGGCCTTTCTCTCCCTTCACCTCAGGGCTGGGCCTCCCTGGGACTCGGGTTGTGACACAGACCTGCTTAAAGACCCCCGGAGAGACCCTCCCCTGCTCTGCTGGTGAGCCTGCCTGGGAGGGAGTCTTGCTTGTACCTCTGCACCCCTCCCCCAACCCCCCCACCTGCCTTGTTCCAACCGCAGGCTTCCTCTGGCAGCTGCACCCGCCTCCCCAGCCTCTGAGGCCCCCAGGGACAGAGTTAAGCTGAACGGAAATGCAGCTGTGGGGGGTAGCAGAGCTAGGGGAAGAGGAGGCTTAGGGACCCCCTTCCTGGGACCTGGCCAAGTGGACAGTGAACAGTTGCCCTGGGACTGGTTCCTCCATCCCAGGCCTCGGGAAAAGCCAGCCCCAACACCAACCTTGCAGGCTCCCGCAGTCCCCACCCTGCCCGCCCTGGCAGTGTTTGACAGTCAACCATTTATCGAGCACCTGCTATGTGCCAGGAATTTTTTAGGTGCTTGAGCCAGAAAGATCCCCGTCTTCCTGCAGTTAATGCTGGTGGTGGGAAGATAGACCTAATACACAAGCAGCATTCCTATTGG